CAGTGCAAACGTTATAATAATAGTTTATTAATTCATTGTGTCAGGGACAGGCAGCCAGAGTGAAATCATACACCTTAGGCTTATATCGAGTCCCCCCCCACCCCCAACGTTGAATTACTGACCCCGCCCACAATGCAATCCCACAACAAGCTGACTAACTCCTGAGTACCTACTCACTGCTAGGTGAACAAGGAGCATTAGGCGAAAGAAAATTTGCCCAACCATTTCGTTTCCGACCGGGATTCGAGCCCAGAATTCTCGCTTTTACGTCGAAAAGGAACCCGACTTTAGCACCGAGCCCCTCACTACCGGGACCATACCAAGCCATGAAAGATGCAACTGAGTCACTCTGACAGTTCAAGTTATTTATCAAGCAAGTAACACAGTCGACTGCTGGTGAAATAGCAGGATCAGAGTGTACACACGCGCGATATATCCCACAGTGACACAGGAACTGTTTGGGGGGGGTTGCTATATTGGGTTTTGATATTGACTGGCATCAGGGCATGACTGCAATTATGTGGCCAGGTTCACGGCGTACCTTAGTGGTAGAATTACATTGTGGTTAGCGTGTTATTGGAGACTGATTTTTACTGCGAAGTGACCTTTACATTCATGTTTGATTTGCATGGAGACCAAGTTGCTGGTGCTTTATTCAGATTGTATATCAAACATTCACTGGGTGTTCGTCGTCTCTTATTCACCACCTCCTAGAATGTTGCTCATTTTATACACGTTAGAATGTTGAAATTCTACATTTCTATGAGGCAGACTTTGAAATTCATCTGCCAATCTACTTGGATTGATCGGCTCAGCTACAACCTTGCTTCTTGCAGGTATGCGTTCGATTCCCTAGACTTCCGGTGGTTATTGAGCGTATCTACTACTAACTAATGTAAATTAACAACATTTTATAGCTGTTACATTAGAATGTAATAATATGATGTAGATATTACCCACAATAATTTAATTACCCACAAATTAAATTTTGTATTGGTAATTTATTTTAATTTTATTAAAAATATTTATTAAATAATATTTATTAAAAGTAATTTTAATAAAAAATTGGTAAATTACCCACAGTAGTTTACTAACGTAAACTCTTAGTTTACATATCCCTGATGAACAAATCCACAAGGGCCGCGACGAGGATTCGAACCTGCGTCCGAGAGCATCCCAGACGCTGTCATTATCGACCCAGCGTCTGGAATGCTCTCGGACGTACGTTCAAATCCTCGTCACGGCCCTTGTGGATTTGTTCATTTGATGCATCACGCGATTTTGATTTCTGTTTGTAATCCTCTATGAAGTCCACTACTATATAAAGCAACAGGGTTGATATTGAGAACAAATTACGAGTTGGGATTTGAAATGTAAAAACATGTTTTGAGTGTTGAAAGATACCGATCTAGGGATTTTTAATGGAAGAAATATTATTGGCAATAATTAATGTAATTAAGATTTTAACGAAAAATCTGTAATTGTATAATTTTATACTGGAAATGCACTTTCCAATAACACTTTCAGTTAAATTTTGACATAATTACGCCAAATAAGAGACTTACGAAGCCTTTCATGTCATTCTTAGACTTTTTATTTGATAGATTTAAGCCAAACAAAACATCAAGTGGACTTCAAAGCTAGCACTGGATTATTTCCATGAAGTCTTAATATCCAGAGTGATCACTTAAAATCCTATGATACTTTCAAGGTTGTTCTTCCTTACTGAGATGCATACAAATGTGAAAGAAAATATTAATAACTCAGAAAAGTTTTAATTATTTACAATCTTTTAAGAATATATAACCTGCTTTATAACCTGATTATAACGCTCTACAACCTGCTTGTTAAAATTTTCATTAACTCAATGACTTGTCAACTCACAAAACACACACACACACACACACACACACACACACACACACACACACACACACACACACACACACACACACACAATCATTTTACCTACGTCACAAAACACTCGTCACCTCCCACACAAGCAACACATGTAACAGGAAACCTGTTTTCCACTCACGCGTTTCACTGCACAACAACCTCAGCTGTGCAACACAAAACAAAAGGTTCTCGTTCTGTGTAGCACAAAACGCCGCCTCTCACTCCCTACCTCAAAAATAAACTAGTACGTGAGAGTTGTTCAAAGTTGCTATCAGTTACACAATAGTTTTCCCCTAACATAGAAATGTCTTCTGGCAACGATTCATATATATATATATATATATATATTGTCACGTGGGGGGTGGGCGGTCCGGGGCTCTGCTAACACTCGGCTGCTAGGGGCTCAAAGGGCCCAAATACTCAGCCCCTCCGACTCCCTGGATTCACCGGAGTCTCCTTGGTCACACAAGATAGGACCAACAATGCCCACCTCCGCAGGTCTTTGCTTCCACCACAAAGGGGTGCCACTGATTCACCCTGGAAGCCCTTCAGTCAACCACGGGGAAACTGCTGTTAACAGTTCCGGCCTAGACCCGTGGGGGAGTGAAGGAAGACTCAGGCTTACCTATAACCATAGCCTCTCTGAGTCTTGCCTGCCAGACAAAAAAAAGGTTGCAGGAACTCCTTTCCCGCCTGTCTTCTCTATCTTCCTCTTAGCAAGGTCGCCAGCTGGGTTATTATATCTGCACCCCAGCAATGCAGTTCAGTGGGTGTATCATATATCGTTTGTAGCCAGAAATGTATGCTCATAGAGAAATATCACAAATGGAGGCACACTCAAACACAGTAATAAAATGTGTGGATTTACTGACGCAAATTACATGAACACACACACACAATCACAAGTAATACATGAATATGGAATATGGATGATGAGTCTGGAGATCGTCAGCCTCTTCTTCCACGACCTCCAACTCTCCTTCAACTGGGCAGGAAGACAGGAGTCTCACACTCTCACAGGAGGGCCTCTTCACCACGTCGGCACCTCTTCTTCACTGTCCTGCCATCCATACACACTGTCCTCTCTGACAGTCCTGGACACAAGCTGCATTGCAGCCTATTCTACCATTAAAGTAATAAAGTCTTGCTGCCACATACACAAGTAAATATTGTGGCCTAACTAGCCTACTCATACAAGGGGTAATGGGAGGGAAAAATGATCTACCTTACACTCCTGGCTCACGACGCCTGTCCCTCGATGGTGTGAGGTTCCCACGCTTCCTTGGGTCGATCCTCGACGATCCAGGGCGTTCCACAGGTCCTCAGGTGTCGTGAAGCCTTCGCGTCGTCGCCGTTCCAATCCCTGAGATTCAGCTGCCCCAATCCTGGTTCATCGATGGGCGCTGAGCTAATCACTATCTTTCCCCACACTCGCCTCTCCCACAGGGCGTCGCTCCTTGTCCTAGGCACGGTGTCGTCCTTCCAAGATTCTCAGTGGATGTGACCCCAGTCACAGCTAGCTTGCTCGCCCACCTTCCAGACCTCAACGTCCAGCCAGCGGCGCCGCCCAGCGTCGTCGCCGACTATTTTCCAAGTTTGGGCACTTCTCTGCTCACTGAACTTGGTTCCTCTTTGGCTTCCCAGAAGCGCAGGGTCTCCAATAACTATGGTGGGCAACGAAGGCCAGCTCAATCCACTGAACAAGGCTTGCAGAGCCTCCAATCCTTGAGAGCAGACCGAGGCGCGTCCTGTCGCTTCCACGGTCAGTACAACTCTGACGTTGGCGCCGCCCGGGGCACTCGGTGACGTCATGGCGGGCCCTGATTTGTCGCCCGCGACCTACGTCGGCCAATCCGCGATCGGCATAGTGTCCCTTCCACAAGGTCATATCTGCCGTAGGGGATACTGTTTCATTTTATAACAGGGCGCCAATTTTCCTTTATTTACAACTTATAATATAACCTCCTTCCATAAAATGGCAGCCAGTCTGGTCGCCACATATATCATTAGACTCCCTGAACCTCAGAGAATCAGTAGGGAGAGCTGATATGACTCTTTAAGCCGGCAAACGAAAGAAATAGGAGAGGGCACCGTAACAATATATATATATATATATATATATATATATATATATATATATATATATATATATATATATATATGTCGTACCTAGTAGCCAGAATGCACTTCTCGGCCTACTATGCAAGGCCCGATTTGCCTAGGGCTACTAGGTACGACATATATATATATATATATATATATATATATATATATATATATATATGTCGTACCTAGTAGCCCTAGGCAAATCGGGCCTTGCATAGTAGGCCGAGAAGTGCATTCTGGCTACTAGGTACGACATATATATATATATATATATATATATATATATATATATATATATATATATATATATATATGTGTGTGTGTGTGATATTCGCTCATTAACCAACAATAAGACTACAGTGTTACACGTTCAGAAAAACGAAACATGTAAAAGATATCTACTGAGCACTTCTGTAGCCGAAAACTACAGCACTGAGCATCTAAACAGCTAGCAATTCCATATACAGCCAAACAAGATCCTCAGGCATAATAGGGGTTAACGTTTGACACATCCAGTCCTCACTGAGACCACAATAGATGGTGGTCTTCAAATAGAGGGCAAAAAAAATAGGAACAGATTAATGAAATTTAATATTGAATTTTAGATGGCATGTATATTTGTGGCGTTGAAATCCATTTAGTTCAATGCAATTGTCTGCTTTTTCACAACTGCAGCTGTTAAATCCTCCATAAATTTTTGTGGTCAAGATTGCAATTGCAAGCAACGTGTACTAATAGTCTCGAACACCATGCAAGCACCAGTTGAAGCCCACACAGCTGGCACCTCAACCCCCGCAAGCACAACTATAGGTACGTACGATCATCCACACTTCCTACCGACTGTTGCTGACTTAAAATATGGTTGAACCCCAGCTCTAGAGCCCATATCTTCCTCCTCAACCCGTTAACAACGGATTAGTATTGTTTCTGTACCGTTTACCTGTTGCGAAGACAAGTAAAGTGTACCTGAGACCACAGATCTTCAACAGTATGGCATGCATCGGCATAGAATATTGCAGAGGCACGCCGAGCAACAGAGAGGATTTGTTGAGTTTTTCCAGCCAGTCAACCAACTGTGTGATGCTGAAGTAGAGTTGTACCAGCAGGTGGTACCTGAGGAAGTAGACGGTGTCCGTCAGGCAACACAGCAGGTACTGACGGCTGATGGAGTTCCACTCCGGCAGCGTCTTCCACGCCTCCAGCAGGCACCTGTGGAGTCTCCCCCACACCTGGGGAAGGGTCTCCTTCCACAGCCTGGGAAGTACCTCCTTCCACAGCCTGGGAAGTACCTCCTTCCACAGAGCGGGAAGTGTCTCCTTCCACAGCCTGGGAAGTACCTCCTTCCACAGCCTGGGAAGTGTCTCCTTCCACAGCCTGGGAAGTACCTCCTTCCACAGCCTGGGAAGTGTCTCCTTCCACAGCCTGGGAAGTACCTCCTTCCACAGCCTGGGAAGTACCTCCTCCCACAGCCTGGGAAGAGACTTGGGAAGAGACTCCCAGGTCCTGAGTCCGTGCACCATGGCCATCAGAAGACCAAGGGCGAGGACCTGCGGGAGGAGTGGAGGAGTCCAGCCCTGAACGCCCCTTCCAGACACCTGGCTCCAGAAGTCACGTGTCTGCCAGCACCGCGTCCAGAGGCTCAACAGGTGTCCAAGGTAGGGCACGGTGCTCCCGTAGGAGGCCAGGACGGAGTAGATGAGGTGACTCCAGACGAGTCTAGCTGCCATTGGCATCAGTTTCCATACACGCCCGGCCGCTATCTGCAGCAGGATCCAGAGACGCCCGGCTGCTATCTTCAGCATGATCCAGAGACGCCCGGCTGCCTTCTGCAGCAGGATCCAGAGACGCCCGGCTGCCATCTTCAGCAGGATCCAGAGGCGTATCAACACCTGTCTGAAGATGGCAGCGAGGAGGGCCATCAGCCTCCTGGCCTTTGACCGAGCGGGCAGGTGCAGCACCACCGCCAGCATTACCATGCTAAGTACACACTCACTTAATTCTATATTGGTCATTTTCAATCAAGATCAATCAATATTATTCACTGTTTTATACAAATTAAATCTACATTAAAATTGAACAATGTGTGTTTGTGTGAATTAGGATTTTAACGTTCTATAGGCATTATGTAAAGTCATTACAGAACCATCCTGAGACCATCTTCTCACCGAGTAGATCATCTCATTGTGGTCCTGTAGAGTGGGCAAGTGTCGTTCTGTGATGTACGTAAGTGCGGTCCGTTAGAGTGCGCAGTGGGGAGATATAGAGTGGTAGAATGCTGTCCAGTACAGTAGAGACGTTAATCCTGTAATGGGAAGATTTGGTCCTGCAGAGTATCGGAAATGTTTGGTCCTGTACAGGGAAAAAGCTTAGTTCTGTTGAGTGAGAGTGAGTGGTCCTGTAAAGTATCTGTCTTCCTGATTATTCCGGTAGAGACAGAAACAAATAGGCAGAGTTTGTTTCACCTGATGTCTCTGTTCACCTAACAGTAATTAGGTACCTGGACAGCGCTCGGGAGTCGTAGTCCTAAGGGCCGTGGGGCTAATAGAGCGCTGGAAAACTTCACAATAACTGCAGCTAGCGTGAGGGCTAGTGTTGCGCGGGACGACCTCGTCAGAGGGTTGTAAATACTAGCAGTTGTATATAATAATAAGTGATATTTTTAAGTTCAATTTAAATTTTTACCATAAACATTATACTACATTTCCACCAAAGTTAGGGATATCTAGACTTGAGAAGGATCATAGAGTTTAAAAGAACCCGGTTACGAAATGGTTCGTAACATTCACCTTACACGTGATCAATCATAGGACAATTCTTCACCTTACACGTGATCAATCACGGAACAATGCTTTATCTTGTATGTGATAAATCATAGTCACACTCACCTTCACGCTGTTAACCTAGCACTAACATTTATTATAGAGTAAATTAACTATGTAGAGCTCCCCCTCTCCTCCTTATAATCAGTCAACATCAATTAATAACCTACATATTAGATTCAGAGCATTCCGTTTAATTAGTTAATTAAATTTCCACACTGAGGTATTAATAGATAACATTGCCTCTCATATACACCATTCGTCCTGGACCATTGGCTGTCAGTCGTACACCGTTTCTGGTATGGAAAGTTATTAACAATTCCCCTCCACAGTGGAATTCGATTACATCACTGATCACTCGTGTAGAATAATTCGTCATGTACTTAGGTGGCCACCAGCAAGAGAATTAATGATACACTCTCAGCTCTCTAGACACTTCTTACAGTTATTAGGTGTTTTTTCTCTCCACTTCTCTGTTTATACATTTCTGCATCTTGCCAAAGGGTCTGAATGGTCTAATAACTGGGCATTCAGTGATGTAGTGTTGGAGATCATGCCGCAGTTCCTGCTAACAGAGTTTGCACCTTGAATGCTCAGGATTGGGAGATCCGTCACCTGTAGCCACCTGCCACAGGTAACAGTAGCCCAACCTGATCCTGGTAACCACTGTGTCGATTTTTTTTATTAATACATGAGGTACATCTGCATTTGTGCGGCACTGTGTCGAACAGCTGAAAACCCTTTTAAAACTCTCTTGAAAACTATAGCTCCATTTCAGACAAATTTAGTCACTGAAAATTGGAATGGGACTCAATACTCCTTAATTAAGGAGGGCAATGGGCATTGATCCCGACCATAGATATTTCTCACAATACAATAACAACTCACCATGCAAAGTTTAGTGAGGGTAGCCCATAACGTCTGGCCTTGAACCTTGGAAAAACAGATTCAATTTCATATAGATAGTAATTTTTCTTTTAAATAACAATTCATTATATTATGTAGTATGTGGAATATGTGATTGCAGTTTTGTGAAAATTGTAAGATAATCCAACTATTTTTTTTTTTTGAGAAAACATTGGGCCAAGCCGGGCAACAATTCCCTGGACAATGCAACAAAAATTCCGACATATAAAGCCAATGTAAAACAACAAAACTAATTCCCACGTGATGTTTACACTGTTTGGTGTTTATAAAATAGATTTAATTTTAGTGAGAAAATTACACACACAAAAAACGGCCGTTTGTCCTAGTCCCATAAATCTAGTCCTCCGGTTCGTTTAACTATCTGATATTACGCTTAAAAGTTGAATAATGGTTGCAGGGGGGGTGGGGGTAGGGAGTCCCATGTGACGAATCTAGCTTGATAAACTACATATTTTATGGAAATACAGCTGCCAGCTTTAGCTGGTGTGAGGAGGACTGGTCGGGGAAGGGCAGGGGGATGTGAGGTATGAATGAGGGGGTGATGGGGGGTTGGTAGTGTGGTGGGTTGGTGGAGGGGGGTTGTTGTGAAGAGCGTGGTGGTGGTGGTGGTAGGGATGTGGTATGGGGGTGGCCTTGGGGCAGGGGATGATTTGGGATGGGGGAAGGATTGGAGATAGAGAAAGGGATGATAAATGAGAATATGGGTTCGGATGTGTTTGGGGGGGATTAGATAGTTAAAAGAGGAAATGGAAAAGGGGGCGAAAGGGAAGGGAACTATGAGGAGAATGCGCCAAGCCATTGCAGCACTTGGAAGGGGTCAGGATAAAGATTTGGGATAGGACGGGGGAGGAAGGAATGGTGCCCAACCACTTGTACGGTCGGGGATTGAATGCCGACCGACATGAAGTGAGACCGTCGCTCAAATGGTTGGCCGACGGCCATATTAAAAATGGGGGCGGAGGAATAGGAGAATAATGGAGGGAGGGGTACAAATTTGGGGGAACGGTATATAGAGGGGGGGAGAAGTAGAACGGGGGGGGGGGGAAACAAAAGTAGGGGAGGGGGGTGTACCCTGTGTCCCTCTCACACCCACACTTCTCTACTGCTCCCCCATACACATTTTGTGCCTCCACATGCATTTTTTCACCTATACTCTACCTACTCTGCTCTCCAACTCTGCTCTCTAACTCTGCTCTCCAACTCTGCTCTCTAACTCTGCTCTCCAACTCTGCTCTCCAACTCTGCTCTCCAACTCTACACAACCAATCTGCACGCCTCCCACTCATATATAAACTCTTCCTATCGCACCAACACAGACAACTCTCAAAAAAATCCATTCTCACCCACAACAAAAATCCTTTATAACGCCTCATGGTTTGGTCTTTAGTATATTTTTGATCTGTGTAGCTAGTTCGGTTCTGTTGCATAAAGGTAATGTTTGTGATATTTTGTTGCATAAATGTGATACTTTTTCTGGTTCTGTTGCATATATGTTACCATTTTCTGCTTATGTTGCATAAAGATATATTTAATTACTTGTTTCAAACCCTCAACCTTCAGTACTGCGGGAAATGCCCATATGAACTAAAAGTTGATTCCATTAAACACGTGAAGAGTTACTCTGTATATTCTATATTCCGTTAGGGGTAGCACTGTCGTCTGCTGGAAGCCCTCAACGACGTGAGGTTTCAAGGGGGTAGCACTCTGATCTGCTGGAAGCCCCCAACGAGGTGAGGTTTCAAGGGGGTAGCACTCTGGTCTGCTGGAAGCCCCGAACGAGGTGAGGTTTCAAGGGGGTAGCACTCTGGTCTGCTGGAAGCTCCCAAGTAGGTGAGGTTTCAAGGAGGTAGCACTCTGGTCTGCTGGAAGCCCCCAACGAGGTGAGGTTTCAAGGAGGTAGCACTCTGGTCTGCTGGAAGCCCCCAACGAGGTGAGGTTTCAAGGGGGTAGCACTCTGGTCTGCTGGAAGCCCCCAACGAGGTGAGATTTCAAGGGGGTAGCACTCTGGTCTGCTGGAAGCCTCCTACTTTGTGAGGATTTCGTGTTCAACAACCTGTCCTCCCTCTTAACGCACCTTAGCGCTGAGGATGCTGATTAAAACGCCGAAGAATTTTTAGTTCATTCAGCGCTTTGCACGGCCGTGTAAGGGGCGAGTATTTCCTTACATTTCCAAGATTCATTTGTCCTTCCAGCTTCCACCTATGCCCTTTTGTCCTGTTTGCTTATATATTGAAAACGTCGTCTTTCTCTTCTTTCTTTATTACGCTCGGTACCTTGCATGTAACGATCATGTCTACTGTCACTTGTCTCTTATGGGATTATGAGACTGAAGTCAATGACGTTTAACACTCTCAATTTAGTCAATAGTTTTGACTGCACCTGTTCACATTTTCATGTTTAGTTGTGTGTTTGTCGAGTGTGTTTGACTCCTTCTGAAGATGTATTAATGTACGAAAGTACTTAAGGAAATTCCTGTTTCAATTTACCTCCGTGGTCTGACATATATATATATATATATATATATATATATATATATATATATATATATATATATATATATATATATATATATATATATATATATATATATATATATATACACCGTCCTACAGCTGCCCTGTGTAACATCTTTACTGATACTTTGTTTTTTTCAATTTATTTCATCAACGTGATAGGCGCTGCTCTACTGAGGCGATCTCTAGTTGTCTATTAAAGTGGCGATATTTGTCTATTGAGGCTTACTATAGTTGCTTACTGAAGCTCACTATTGATGTCTATGGAAACTTGCTATCGTTTTTCATAAACCCTAGAATTACTTGTCTATTGAAATTGTCTGTCAAGATTGACTATAGATGTTCATTGAGACTGGCTATTGATATTTACTAAAGCTGGATTTACCTGTCTATTGAGACGGTCTATTGTTGTTTATTATAGTGATGTAATGTGGTTTTCAGTAGTTTTTATTGGTTACCTTTATCCGAATTCCAAGGCTAGAAATATCTTCTTTTTCTTGTTTGTGACGCATTATTTTTAGGTAAAATAAATGCTTCTCTAAACATTTACAATTTTCTAACTGTAAAATTTTACAGTAATTTTTTTTACAATACTTTGTCAGAAAAACAATATATCTTAAAAATAATAATGTAATTCTCCCAGCAATATTTAAATATTCTCAATCATTTAGAAATAAA